TCAGAAAACAACGGAGCTGAATTTAAACACAGAACTTCCACCGGGTTTAACTAAGACATCGAGCCTCAAATGGACAATGTTTCACTTAAATCCAAGCAAAGGCTGATTTTTTCGGAGATTCTAAACGCTGCAGCTTAAATTTACAATTTTCATCAAATGTCTGTCCGCTTTTAAGGAATTAATCTGAAAACAACGGAGCGGAATTTGTACCCATAATTTCTACACGGTTGAACCAAGACATCCAGCCATAAAAAGGCAAAATTTCACTCAAATCCACACAAAATCAGATATTTTAGGAGATTGTCTGAAGCTTAAAATTGCAGTTTTTGTCAAATTCCAGCCCACTTTAAAACATTTCGTTGCTTTTAGGATAATAGTGGTGTGTAGAATATTTCGAAGAAATAATAGAACCCAATTTGTATACAGTGCTACTATTTACTTCCCCACTTATAAATACAACGACGCCAGATTTGTTAATATTAAGTACTATAATTATAACCAGTGACTTTAAAATACTCATGATGTAGAATATTTCCGAACTGTTTTCGCAATTAGACTCGTAATATGAACGTACAAAATAACATCAGATTGATTTTTAAATTATCATTTAGTACCGCACCCGAAGATCACCATAAGAATATTCGCCCTTCATTTCTTGAATGTCCCTCCACCGATTTGTGAGAACACTGTTTGTTCTTACAATGTGTATCCACATCTCGTCCAAACCGCGTCCGCTTAAAAAAATGTGTCCAGAAAAGTTGATATGTTCCTGAACGTAAACCTGCAATAGATCCACATATCTGCAATGTTCTTTCAAAATATGCAAATGAAGATCTTTTAGTATCCGAAAATACTCAATTAAAATTATAGTTTTTCGTGGCTTAAGCGGACCAATAGTTTTTGGAGTTAGGAGAAATATTGGTGATTTTCTTCAAAAATTGGATTGAATTGAGTTGAAGAAACTCAAAAATCAATTTCCGGTGGCGCTTAAAGAATCCGATGTTCTTTGCCTCGGTTTCTACATGGTTTTTTTGCAACAAACAAGTTTTTCTCGTTGTCGGTTTCTCAAATTCTTTTCGATCTTGTCATTTAATTACGTCGATCTTCCATCGTAAATATAGGATTTCTCTTTCCTTCATTTTTATATTATGTTTATTTTCAAGTGTTAATTTATGTTTTTTCTGTTGCTCTTTATTATCGTATTCTATAGTATTATTAGTTTTAATAAATGTTTGAGCGATGCAGGGAACCATGCCTTGTACGTCCGTCACCTACTTATTGTACCTATAAATCCTTAACCCTTTCGCTAATTTTATGCTTTGCCGAGCGCGAAGACTTTTTAAAAAACCAATTTCTTAGATTATGGACTTTATTACAAGACTACGTTCGTACACGACGGTTAGTTGTATAAAGACAAAGTTTGCC